TTCCGTAGTGATACTGCCTCGGAAACCCAAGGAGGGGTCGCTATGAGTCAGGGCTGACTCGACGGCACATAACAACAACAACAACAACAAGAAAATATAAAGCAAAAAGAACTTATGTTTTTACCTACCGATACTTCCCCCAAAAGGAGCCTAGTGGTGCATTGGTTAAGTGTTCAGCTGTTGACAGAAAAGTTGGCAGTTCAAACCCACTTAACAGCTCTGCAGGAGAAAAGACCTGACAGTCTGCTCCTAGGAAGCTCTATAAAGCAGTTCTACTCTGTCCTACAGAGGTGCTATGAGTTGGAATCAACTCAACAGCATACAACACTACCACCTCCCCTAAGATAGCAAGGAATACCTTTCTAAGACTTTACCAAGAATTCTATTGCTCTGGAATTAAAGTGATGAATATATATGATTTGCTTCAAGGGCTATGAATGTACAAACTGTCATTCAGAATATCCAGATCAGAACAATAATACTTGCCTGAATAGATATGTTACATGTCCTGTGTTCTAGGGAAATCACATATGTCCCTCTCAATGTAGATATGATTATGGTTCTTAAACGTAGAGATAAACACTTATCTGGCACTCTACAGGTCACATCTCACACTTAAACCAACCCATTGGCATCACAGTATAAGGGACAAGCCAACATGAAGTATACGTTTTATTAAAGAAAGTCAAAACTTGTTTTACATGTCCCCTTTTTCTATATGTAGATAATTAACCCTGCATAATTAAGTTTTTATATGTGTTACTTCTAATTTTAGTGTTCTTTGCACTAAATAAGTAATCATAAATAACGTTCTGTGGTTCTCTCTCTCCTCAGATATCCGGAAAGTGGAACTCTAGAAATGAGTGTCAAGGATCTTCGCCCACGAGCTAGAACCACTCTGAAATGGAATGAACTCAATGTTGGCGACATGGTAATGGTTAATTACAATGTAGAAAGTCCTGGAGAAAGAGGATTTTGGTTTGATGCAGAAATTACCACATTGAAGACAATTTCAAGGACCAAAAAAGAACTGCGTGTAAAAATTTTCCTGGGGTAAGAGTCTCTTCACTGATTATGTCATTTAATTACTGAATTAAACAAAGGATGTTGTTTTTAGGTATTAGCACATTTTCCTTAGTAACAAGATAATCTGTGAATGATGGAATGCTTCATGAAGGGAGAATGCTTTTATGAAGTCTCGAAAAATCTTATTAAGAATGGTGCTTAAATCTCTGCTGCTATTTCAAGGTTGGAGCTGTTCTTAAGGAACATCTTAGAAATTTCTGAATTTTCTGTTAAAGAAATCCTTACTTACCTCACAGATTTCTTACAGATTAAACAAAGTTACATACAAAGGCATTTAAATATCTCTGATTGCTGAAGGGATCTATGTTGATAAAATAGTATGTCTACCTAACCAGTGAGTTAACCTGGTGAACTTCTAAATCCAGCTGAAATTTGCCTTCACAATCATCTTCTTTAACTTTTAGAATTTGACAAACTCAGTGAAATGAATTCAAAATGCAGAAAGCCACCTGACATACCAATTTGCTCAAATGTTACCATTATTAATTCTTTAAGAAATACGTTTAGATGTTTCCAAGTGGTATAATGCTATGCATTGTTTTGCAGCTACCTTTTTTCACCTAGGAAAATATTGTCACCATCTTCTGTGTCAGATTCTTTGGAATAGAATTTACTGGTTAAATAGTCACTGATTTAAAGAAAAAAAAAATCTCTGTTAAATTGTTTTCAGTTCTTTTTTGTAAATAATCTCTCAGTTAACATCTTTGTATGTGCATCTTTGTGCATTTTTCTTCTTTACTGTTAATTCTTAGATTTGTTGTGTTTAGCATTGAAGATTGTAGAATGGTCCTGACAGTTTTCTTATTAAATGTAAGGGAAGCAGCTAAACTAATACTCTTGCCCAGTACTGGCTAGCTGTCTTGGAGATAATATATTGGATAACAAGCATCTGCATGTGGTTAATAATAATGTAAATGAGAGGTCAGCAAACTACAGCTTGCAGGGTACCTGTTTTTATAAATAAAGTTTTATTGGGACACAGCCATGCCATTTGTTTGGGTATCATCTATGACTGCTTTCATGCTCAACAACATTGTTGGATGGTTACAACTGAGACCATCTGGCCTACAAAGCCTAAATAAACCATTTACTTTCTGACCCTTTACAGAATATGTTTACCCACTCTGGAGATAAAGAAGAATTATGAGATGCTAAAAATAGATCATATTTTAGAAAACCGATTTTAGAGCTTTCTACAAACACAGGTAATTCTTTTGCTAGACTAAGGATATAGCTCAATTACAGACTTCTAAATAACTTGAAATTCTGATACAAATACAAATTGTGAAGATGAAAAGGAGACAGACAGCATCTAAATAAATTGGCTGTATAGGGAACCTTCTAATGTACTTGAGTGTAGAAAGTATTAAACAAGCATGTATACACAAAAGGGAAAGATACCAGTACACATTGCATTGAGCTAAAAGCTTCTATTTTAAAAATATTTCCCAAAGTGATTCTGTGGTCCTACTATACACAAAAGGGAACGATACCAGTACACATTGCATTGAGCTAAAAGCTTCTATTTTAAAAATATTTCCCAAAGTGATTCTGTGGTCCTACTAGAGAAGAGCATCCTGGCTTTAGGGACTAGAAGTAAGATTGGATGGAAATGATGGGTAGGCAGATAATAGTTCAGTTAGAATGGTCATGTGATAGCTATCCGAACACTAAAACACTCTGTCCTATAAAGTGTTAGGGTTCTTTGCCATTTAAGTATTAGGTACACAGCAGCTTCAAAGGAAACAGTGTGACTTGTAGGTGGAAATATTTTTCATGATCAGCAATCTTTTCTCCTCATTAGAAAGTGTGAATAGTCAAGGCGAAGATCTCAGTGCCTTCTGCTGTTGATGGACCTTGCAGTTTGTTTCTAGTTTGGGCCTGTTAGGAACAGTGCTGCCATGATGTTCTCGTGCATGTGTCCTGGTGTGGATGTGCTTTAGTTTCTCAAGGAGTAGAGTTGCTGGGTGTAAAACCTATATGTCTTCAACTTTAGTAGGTAAGACCAAAGACTCTTCATTTTCAAGTGTTTGTATCTGATTATACTTCCACAACAATATGAAGAATCCCATTACTCTGCATTCTCATCCACACATGACTAGTTTTTGCAGACCAGGTGGATGTATAATAAAGTAGCATGTCATTGTGGTTATACTTTGCATTTCTCTGACTAAATGAGGTCGAGAACCTTTTTGTTTGTTAATGGGCAGATTGGCTATCTTTTGTTAGGACGTCTTTCCAGATATTTGTGCTTTATTTTTCTTCGTTGGATAGTCTGACTTAATGGTTTCATGTAGTTTTTATTGGGCAGACTAGACCTAGGTCAGTTATTTGTGTTAAAAAAAAATCTTCTCCAACACTACAGCTTATTTTTTCTCCTTTTGATGTTTGAATAGAACTTTGCTTAATTTTAAGGAGTTCTGGTAGTGTGGTGCCTAAGGCATGAAGGTTGGCAGTTTAAACCCACCAGCTGCTCTGCAGGAGGAAGATGAGGCAATCTACTTCTGTAAAGATTTACCACCCTGGAAACCCAGTAGGGGTCCCTGTGAGTCGGAATCAACTCAGTGGCAGTGAGCTTTCTTAATTTTTTTTTTTAATTGTGATTTGGGTGAAGATTTACAGAGCAAATTTCTTTTCCATACAGTAGTTCACATACACTTTGTCTCATGACATTGACCACAATTTACCACAATGCAACAGCTCCCCTCCTACTTTCTCCCTATAGTTACCTCTTCCATGTGTCCATCCCTCCATGCACTCCTGCCCCTGAGCTGTCTGCCTGTGCATAAGCAGCCCTTCTTTCTCCCATGATTGTTCTCTCCAATGAGTGTATCTACCTCAGGGAAATGTTCAACTCGTATACCAGTCTATTGTTGGTTGGAAGCCACAGGCGTGGATTCAGTTCCAGACTTGAAGGGCAGTTAGGGAACATAGTCTCAGTGGTTCCACCAGTCTCTATCAGACCAGCAAACCTGACCCCCCCCCCTGCTTTTTTTCCCCTCCAAATGGTTTTGAGTTTTGTTCCACATTGCTCTCTCTCTCTATCCAGGATCTCCTTCATAGATCCCCTTCCAAGTGGTTGACATTGGTAGCCAGGCACGATCTAGTTCTTCTGGTCTCCTAGTCATATAGGCTGAAGATCGGATGGTGTACCAGTCGCCGGGACTAATCGTTTCCATGAATTTTGGTTTTCTTCATTCTTCTTTGTTCTGGACGAGGGAAAACCCATCGTTGCATCTAGATGGCAGCTTGAAAGCTTTTAAGACCCTAGTCACTACTCGCCAAAGTAGGAGGTGGAACAATGTTTTGTGTAGTATGTTATGCCCATTGAGCTTGATGTTCCCTGCGACGATGGTCCCGAGCCCACAGGTTCAACTACTTGGTCGCTCTTGGTAGCTGGCTGTGACCAAGCAGTGATTACAATCTTGCCCTTTGTCAGCTCTACTATACACCTGGGAATTCAGATCATACATATAAACTTACAGGACCGTTGTCTGCCAACTCTATACATGTTCTTGGGTACACTCGCACTCAATAGAGATAACCTACTAGTTCAGCCTGTCCACCCATCTATCTAACAAAATATCCATGTTTGCCTTCACTGACAACGCCGTAATATATGTGCAAAAGGGTTCATCTTTGTTGTCTGTACCTCCCACGCACCTCTCTATGTCTTTCTCTTCCTCA